ACCTACTACTTGTGACTGGCATCTGAAGTAGAGTAGGAGCAGTCTTGTGGGACTGAGCCCTTAACCTGTGGGATCTGACGCTGTCTCCAGGTAGATGGTGTTAGAGTTGTGTTAAATTGTAGAACACTCAGCTGGCATCACAGAGAATTGCTTGTTGTGGGGAAAAACTTCCACACATTTGGTGACCAGGAGTGTCAGAAGCAAAGTGTGCTGTGTGAGTGGTAAAGGAAACACACAGAAAAGAAAGACATAGTAGGGAAGAACTGGGTTGTTCCCTACATAGGAAGGAAAAAATTGTAGGTTTTTCCTTTACATAGCTTAAACAATTACTAAGGGTTTTATTTTTCTCAGCTCAAGGTGAGAAATTGAGGGTTCATGTGGTAGCTCCATGAACAGAGACTCAGGCTTCTAAAAACCCACTCTGTCCATTCTTATGGTGTGATCCTTTATTTTGTAAGAGCTCAAGATAGTTGCCAAGGACCAGCCATCATGTCTGTATCTCAGGAAGGAAGAATGGGAGAGGGTGCTTACGAGCGGAATCATTTCCTCTAAAGAACTCAGAAAACACCCTCTAGTGACTTCTGCTTGCATCTCACAGGTTAAGAGAGGCTGGTAAATGTGCCTTTCTGGCTGGGCATACTGTTACCCCCAAAGAGAATTGGGGTTCTATTAGTTATATTAGTATTATTCTAATATAATTGGTGTTATTATTCTAATATATACTATCCAATATTTTAATATATTACATATTAAAATCTTATATTTTATATTATATCTTATATTTTAATATATTATATATTAGATAATATATTATTCTAATATAACTAGTATTCTATTCGTTGTACTAATAATAGTAATTAGTTCTATTGGTTCTATTAATAAGGAAGAAGGAGAGAGTGGATATTGGGTGGGTAATAAGCTGTCTCTGCCCCAGGATTCTTATGCTCTGATACCCCAAAATCATGATGCACTGTCCTCAGAGGGAAAATATAACATTTGGAAACAGTGTAGCATTATTGGCTACGAGTCTGGATTTGGAGATAATCCTTGTTTCAAATTTGCCTCTGTCACTTAACTAGCTGTGTGACTTTGAGATATTTACCCAACTTTAATGAGCCCAAGTTTTCTTGTCTGCAAAACAGAGGTAATAATAATATTTATCTCATGGTGTTCCTGTGCAAATTTAGTGGTTCTGCAGAGCCTTAGCACAGTTCTTGGCACCCAGAAAACACTTGAGAAAGGTCTCTATAAAAGTACATGAAATGAGTTATTTAGTTGTGAAATGTGAGTCAAAATCTTGTTGGTTCTGTAACAGTGAGAAAAGGACATGTTTTTAATCAAGATGGGGTATCAGATCTAAATAATGTGTTATCTAACAGCTGGCACCAGAATTCCTAGTAGGAAGGAAACTGCCTTTGTGTTGGAAATTATCTTGCTGAGCCTGGTGGGGAACGGGGTGAGTCTTGAGTGTGGCAGCATGGGAGATGTTGAAGGAGAGCGATGTGAGAGAGAAGAGAATAGAGCAGGGATTGTCCAGCCACAACACTTCGGCCAAAAATACCTAGCCCATCATCTGTTTTTGTAGGACCCATGAGCCAAGAATGGTTTTTAGGGGCCGGCTCCATGGCCAAGTGGTTAAGTTTGCACGCTCTGCTTTGGCGGCCCAGGGTTTTGTTGGTTTGGGTCCTGGGTGTGGACATGGCACCGCTCATCAGGCCATGCTGAGGTGGTGTCCCACATAGAAGAGCCAGAAGGACCTGCAACTACAATATACAACGATGCACTGGGGGGCTTTGGACAGAAGAAGGAAAAAAAAAAAAAATAAAAGAAGATTGGCAACAGATGTTAGCTCAGGTGCTAATCTTTAAAAAAAAAAGGTTTAAAAATTTTTAAATGGTTGAAAAAAATCAAAATATTTTGTGACTCATGAAAATTATATGAAATGCAATTTCAGTGTCCACAAATAAAGTTTTATTGGAACATAGCTGAACCCATGTATTTACATATTATCCATGGCTTCTTTTATGCTTCAGTGGCAGAGTTGAATAGTTGGGATGGACACCCCATAGCCTGCAGAGCATAAAATATTTACTGTCTGGCCCTTTACAAAATTTTGCGACCCTGGAAAAGAGTGAGATGTGTTCAGACTGGAGAAGTGTGTGGATGAGACAGCCACTCGCTGGTGGTGGAGTAGCTGGAGGACTGCTTAAACATGGGCAAGCTTAGGGTTTCTTATGGGCTGAATTGTGTCCCCCCAAAATTCACTGTTGAAGCTCAAACCCCCAGTACTTCAGAATGAGACTGTATTTAGAGATAGGGTCCTTAAAGAGGTAACTAAGTTGAAATGTGGTCATTAGAGTCTAACATGACTGGTCTCCTTATAAGAAGAGGGCATTAGGACGCAGAAACACACAGAGGGAAGACCACGTGAAGACACAGCAAGGAGGCCACCTACAAGCCAGGAAGAGAAGCTTCAGGAGAAACCAACCCTGCTGACGCCTTGAGCTTGGACTTCCAGCCTCCAAAATTATGAGGAAATCAATTTCTGTTGTTTAAGCCACCCTGTCTGTGGTATTTTGCTATGGCAGCCCTAGCAGACTTATATGGGATTCAACCCAAATGGTCTGGGTCCCTGCAACATAATCTCCTCCCTCATCTTCCTCCCAGATCTTCAGTCACGTCTGTGAAGAGCCACGATGCCTTGTGTGGGGTGTGCAATTTACGGACCTTGAAGAGGAGGCTACGTTTCATGTGCGGGTCAATGCAGCCAAGACCTGTGAGACAATCCAAGAACAGACGAGGAGAGAGGCGACTTCGAGCACTTCAACTCTCTCACAGCAACCCTCAGCAGCCCTCTGGGCTTTTTCCGGGTGAGCGTGGGGTTTATCTAGATCTTAAAGCTCCAGATCATAGCTTGGTTACAACAACAGTAACAGCAACAAAAAGAAAAAGAAAAGAAAGTAACGATTTTGAAAGCCATCTTGTGGCAAGATCTACTACTTTCAAGTCCAAGTGGATGGAGGCTGCACTCTCCCAGACAGTTTTTTCCTATGCTTCTCATATCGTAGAGTCCTCCCATGCTTGGGCATCACTTCTGGTCCACAGTCAAGGCCTGAATTTATGGGAATTTTTGTTTTGGGAAAGACCAACTCTGAGAAGATAGTGGGACACTTTCTCCCACTCTCAGAACTCTATGACGGGGAGAGTGAATGTCTGCGTGGGCCATTTCCCCACTTGGCCATATTGTTCTCTTTTTTTTTTTTAAAGATTTAATTTTTCCTTTTTCTCCCCAAAGCCCCCCGGTACATAGTTGTATATTTTTTGTTGTGGGTCCTTCTAGTTGTGGCATGTGGGACGCTGCCTCAGCGTGGTTTGATGAGCAGTGTCATGTCCGCGCCCAGGATTCGAACCAATGAAACACTGGGCCGCCTGCAGCGGAGCGCGCGAACTTAACCGCTCAGCCACGGGGCCAGCCCCATCCCCACTTGGCCATATTGTTCTTTTGCTTTTGGAATGGCACCACTTAAGGCTGACGCCGCAGATTGGGGCTTGATTCCCAGACTTGATTTCCTGCAGCTCCTCCACTGCTTTCGATGCCTAATCTCTTTGCTGGCCAGTTGTGCAGTGGAAGCAGAGAGAGTGCTTTACCCAGAGCCTGGAGGATGTGTGAGAGGAGAGTGTACAGCCTTTGTCATTTTAGGGTTAACATTTTAATGTACAGCCATGGTCAGTCACTAATGGAAAGCAGGAAAAGGTCAGGGTAGCATCTGGCAGAGCCTGGGGAGAAAACCTGCCTGTCACTTTAGGCAAAACCCCGTGGATGACTAGGATCCCGCTGCAGGAATGAAGGATTTATCCCTCCAGCCTCAGGAAGTGCTGTCAGCAGATGGCCTCCAGCTGGAATAGCCGCTACCAAAGAGGGCCACCTTGTCCACGGGTGTTCCCCCTGCCCAGGGGCAGCCCAGGTCTAAAGACTGATCGACATGGGGGCTCCAAAAGCCTGGCCCCTTCATCCCTACTTGGGAGAGCTCTGTAGGGCCATCCCAGCTCTAGAACTCTCCACAGAGGTGGATGAGGCTTTCGTTGATGGCATTGCAGTCTGACCTCTCCCTCTGTCCACTCCTTTTCCTCCCTTTTTCTTCCATAGGTGCTGATCCCAAGTGCACACTGGTAAATGTCCTGCAGGTTCTCCAGGTCAGAGCTGGCTTCCTGGAGAACTCAACCGTGGAAAAGCCAATCTAAGAGCTCACCCCCGGAGGAGCGCCTGGGAGGGGCACACTCCACTCAGCATACTTTGCCTCTGGAAACGATCACTCACCCTTTAGGCCAGGGGGTCTGAGAACTTCAGCTGTGTGTCTGTGTGTGTGTGAGACAGAGGCAGAGAGTGGTGTGGATCAGGGTGTACTCATGTATATATTTATTTTACTTTCTGCTCTAACAAGGCGGTCATCACCAGATGTTTGAAACAAAATACTCACGAAAGAGAACAAACACTTCAGTGTTCTGACTTTCCAATAACAACGGGGAGTAGAGGAAGAGGGATGGAATGTTTCTGTCTCTGAGAATTTGTAAAGCTTTCAGAGTACGTGTAGAAGTGGACTACACTTCCATAAAATGAAATGCAGCATACCCAAACTCACAAAATGGAAAAAATGAGGGCCATGGTTTCTAATTCTGATTTAAAGAACCCCATCATTCATTCATTCATGTATTTCTCAAATATTTATTGATTGGAAGGATTCATTTTTCTATCCCTCTCCAGCTTTACTGAGATATAATTGACATATAGCATTGTGTAAGGTAAGGTGTATAATGTGATGATTTGATGCATGTATTTACTGAGAAATGATTACCACAGTGAGGATAGTTAACACCTCCATCACTTCACATAGTACTTTGTTTTTTTATGGTGAAAACATTTAAGTTTTCTTAAATGTTTTTTATTTAACTCTCTAAAAATTTAACTCTCTAAAATACAAAATATATTTATTTAACTTTCTAAAAATGTGGAACGCTTCACAAACGTGCACATCATCCTTGCGCAGGGGCCATGTTAATCTTCTCTGTATCGTTCCAGTTTTAGCATGTGTGCTGCTGAAGTGAGCACTAGGAAATATTTATTGAGAATCTATTAGGTACCGGGTATCAGGTTAGGTTCTGAGGAACCTTGATGGGCTCACATTTTAATGAGGGGATGGGGCCAGGGAGAGCAATGGGCAAACAAATAATTACAGCAAAAGTCAAGCAGTTTGACGACATCCTTGTTGGTGAAGCTGTGGGGAAACAGGCACTCTCATCGACTGCTGGTGAGAGTAGAAGTCAGGGGAGGTACATTTGCTGGTATTTATCAAAATTGCAAATGCGCACACCTGTGGACCCAGCAACTCCACCTTAGCGAGTCTATCCTAAGGAAATAATGGTGCAAAATATCATAAACACAAGATTGTTCATTGCAGCATTATTTGTAATGAAAAAGATTGGAAGGAACCAAAATGCTCCCAAATTATGGTACAGCATGTGATGGAATACCATGGAGCTGTCAAAAAGAACGAAGCTTGATACAGAAAGATCTACAAAATATGTTAAGGCAAAGATGTAGACCAGTGTAAAAGCATTCGTGTACAAAAGAGGGGAGAAAAGAATATAGTTATGTATACATGCATAGAATATCTCAGAAAGGATGCTTAAGGAATTAATATTAGTTGCCTCTGGGGAGGGGAGCTAGGTCTCCATAGGATAGGATTATATATTCTTCTTACCTTTCAAATGATCAATCATATGAACATATTACCTTTTCAAAAAATAAATAAAAATTTCAACTTTTAAAAAAGAAATAATTATATTAAATGAGTGAAGTAGTAATGGAGGTGCACGAAAAGTACTATTGGGGTGCTGAGTAGATTTGTGTGTGAACTGTAAGACATCTGATGGGAGAGTTGGTATTAGACTAGACATCCTTTCACATCCTTAGAATCCTGTGTGTCTATGAAAATAAGGGGTTGCCTTAGACAATGCCTGGGTTCCTTTCAAATGCCAGAATTCTGTGATTCAGTGATTTTAGAAACTGAAGGAGAATTGGGTGCAGAGGTTTGTGTATATGTGTGTGGGAAGGGAAAGCTTTAAAAATGACATGCTGGGGGTGCTCCCAATCATTGTCCCAACCACAAGTTTGTTTATGCATGTCTTCATCATGCGAAGGGACGCAGGCCTGCCTCGGTGTGCTGATGGGTGTGGTGGCAGCCTTCGAGCAGCTCAGGTGTTACTCTGCCTCTTTAAATCAAACCAAGGCAAGTCAATTTAGGACCAGAAGTGGGAGGTTTCTGAATAATTAAAGGTTTTCGCTTGGTTTTCTTGATCTATACGTTTCTATGAACACACCAGTTGTTTTGTTAGCCTCCTGCTGTGGGAGAGATGCAACTTTGTGACTTTGGCAATTGTTGAAGAGGTTTGAAGGAAAAAACTTACAGATTTATTAGATGATTTATCTCCGTTTTTAATAAAACAGGGGAGAAATGTTACGAGCCAAGGAGCGGCACTGGGAAAAACAAGCCAAGGCCAGGGACAAAAATAACCCACAGAAAAGATGCTTGCCTGCAGCAAACAGGATGCCACGGTGAGCCGCCAGCCCGGATTCCTTTGTGAGGCTGGGCCTCCCTCAGCGGTAGTTCTCAAGCTAAGGCGGGAAGGCTCACCTCTTGAACAATGACAGAAGTGGGGCAGGCCCAGTTCACCCGCCGAGCACACTCTGCCTGGCCTAATTCACCAGACAGAGTTCATCCACAGCTGGAGTTCTGGGTACCACAATCGGTTCTGGTTTCTTGCACAGAGTTTTGGTGACCTCCAAGGGCTCAGATTTGCTAGATGTTTCACTCCCAATCTGAAAGGCTGAGCTTGTGCACAATTCACGTTTAACACTTTTCCGTTTTTATTCCCTGCTTTCCTAGAAAGGTCTTGGAGCCGTTCCTCTAAGGGGAGCGCTGCCCCATTTGTTACTGAGTCCCTAGGCCACCTCCTGGGTGAGCAGTAATGGAAGGCATCTGCTGTACACATAGGGTGGTCCCCAATGAAGGACGCATCCTTGCCTCAGCCAGGTGGAAAGATTTCAGGTTCCCAAGTTCGGATACCATTAAGAAGGGCATTTCCCGGAGATGACTGGTGGTCCAACTGTACCCCAACCCCGCCCTCCACCCCTTAACTTCGGGGTGACACTGAATCTGCTTCCTGTCAGACTAGGTCTTCCACACAACTAATTAAACTACCCTCAACTATATATTTTCTTAAAATTTCTTTTCATTGTGCTGAGATGTATATAACATGAAATTGACCATTTTAGCCATCCTTAAGTGTGGAGTCCTGTGGCATTAAGTACATTCACACTGTTGTGTAGCCATCACCACCATCCGTCTCCAGAACTTTTTCATCTTTCCAGACTGAAACTACCCATCAACACGAACTCCCCGTCCTCCTCCCCCCATCCCTGGCGACCACCACTCTCTTTTCTGCTTCTATGAATTTGCCTACTCTAAGCACCTCCTATGAGTGGAATCAGACAGTATTTGTTCCTTTGTAACTGTATCGCTTCACTTAGCAGGATGGCCTCAAGGTTCATCCATGCCGTAGCATGTCCTGCCTCCCACCCCCTCTCTGGTTTTTGTTCCCATCCCACGGTTGCATCCCCACAGGCTCTATATTTTCTCCTCCCGCACCGCTTTCCCCACACCCCCCACCCCTTCCACACTCTGTATTCCGTGTACTCTCTGTGACCCTCATTCTGAGGTAAACCAAATCCTTAAACTAGTCAAAGAATGTGGCCTCCATCGCGTATCAGACGCTTAACCTAGAGCAGGGGGCCCAGATCACATTCTTTAAAAGTGGGACCTTTGCAAGAATTCATTTTAAGGTCACATCCTGACAGGAGTTCTGCTAAGATTTTCAAGAAAGAAGAGAGGAAGCCGTACAAAAAAGAGACCAGGAGACAAGAGGAAGGCATTCAAAGGGCCGCCTCTGACTTAATTGAAACCTGGTGCCCTTGGAGGCATCCATCCCCTGCAGCCTTTTCCAAGGAGTCACTCCTCCTGTCCCCACATGCCACACCCCACACCACAGGGCCCCTCTGACACCCGTGCCCCAACTGTTTCTTTCCTACCTTTGTGGAATTGTCCAGGGTTCCCCACATTACGGAACAGGGCCAGAGAAGTGGCGGGTGGGGGGGGGGGGGCGGGCAGGGGCTCCACAAATACCTGTGCATTTCCCGAGGTCTTTATGTGACAACAGCATGAAGGATGGGGGGTGGGGGGACCTCAGAAGCCAGCTGCATGCCGAGACTGAGCCTGCGTGAAGGGGAAGAATTACGAAACCCTATTAAAAATATTACCTCTTCAATCTCTTAATTTTCTTCCTGTTGGTAATGTGAGGGCTGATATATCTGGAAACCCATTGGTCAAAGGTAAATGGAATTTTTACCGCCCCTACAGGTTGTTAATCAGGTGCGCGCCACCACCAGGCGGATGCGCTGGCTGGGAGATAACTTACACAGAGCCTGCTCAGGGTAACAGTGACCCAGTTTTAATGCGAGGGTCGCACTCTGATTTTTCTGTTGTTGTACTTAATATGATTGCCATTGTGTCTAGGAAAAGGGAACTGCTAGCAGTCTTCTTGTGGGATTTCTCTGGAAGGGCTGTCTGCTGCTTAAATTTGGCCATTCTTTTCATCAGCTACTTGTCAGGTCATTTGTGATGGGTCGAATTGGACACTTACTAACCAATAAGTTCTTTCCTACTTGATTCATCAGTCTCTTCTTTGCTCTTGGTTTTTGTTTGTATTCTCAGTCTTTGCTACGAGTAATGAAATATTGCAATTGTAATCGAAATAGCTGAGTCCGACGCCAGTGTTTATATGACTCTCATGTTCCAGTGTTTTCCTTTGTTTTGTTTTGGAGGGGTGGGAAGTTACTTTTTTCTTAACTGCCATCACAGATCAATGCTTCACAAGAGCAGGATCCTGGGTGGTCTGGGCACGGTCAGGACGTCGAGAAGGAAGAAAGAATTTGGTGGTCTGAATGGGCTGTGGTGTTTCACTCCACTTTGCTGCTTGGCATAGTCTGAAAGCTGCCTCAAGAAAAGTGAGGTAGAAAAAGAACGTGAGTAGAATAGTTACTGAATTCTAGGGTATTCTGAGAGCTTATCTCAAGCATCTGCGTCTTGCTCCCTCCTTGACCTGCTTCACCACCCTGCCTCTGTGAAAGGGATCCGTCGGCCTCCTCTGGGTAGTCTCTTTCCATGCAAGAGGTCCTTGTTATCTGGAACTGTTTGCTTTTACCTCACCTAGTTCCCTGATGCTGTGCCGCCAGCCCTTATTTTTACTGTTTCCATTTGAGGTGGAAAAATCTAGTCACTGCCCTCATAATGGATTCACTCAGCTTCTGTCACCTTGGAAAATGAACATGGATGAGTTTCCCTTTCTTCTTCTCTTCTCCAGGCTTCCCAAAAAGTCAATTTCTTTACTGAAACCTGGCGCCCTTTGCCCACGCCTGCCTGTGAGATCTAATTTGTTAGGGACACCTTTGAAAGAGGAGGCTTTGTGTTTGCCAGCCCTCCAGAGGAGGGACACTTGGTGTTAGCAATCCTTTAACTCAGGGATAGAGAGAGGGTTTGCTATGAGGGAACGGGGATGGGATGGGATGGGTATGGGGGATATGTGAATGGGGAGTGAAGTGCCTAAGGTCGCAAGGTCTGAAGCTGGACCGCCTGGTTGGAATTCCAGTTCTACCCCATACCAGCTGGATGACCTTGAATAAATCATTTACCTCTCTGTGCCTAAGTTTCTTTTCTATAAAATGAGATTATAATAGAACCTTCTTTATAGAGATTTGTAACGGATTTACAAGAGACTACACCACATAAATGGCTTAACACAGCACCTGGGAGATGACACACTTAATAAATGTTGGCTATGATTATAGTTATCATCAATCAACATGGTATTATCATCACTCATTGGCTAGACCGTGAGTGCCTGAGGACAGGGACTGGATTCCCCTGGAGCTGAGGAGGGGCTCAGCAAATGTGTGTGCAATGAGTGAACAAATGTGACCTCGGGCTAGTCTTT